GAGAAATTTGAGGCACTGGTGGCAACTGGTAATTACAATGTAATAGGAATCACAGAGACAGAGCTAAACCAGAATGACAGAAGTAACTATAACATACAAGTATACAGGAAAGATAGGAAGCACAGAGAAGTTAAAGTGATGCCTTATATGCAAAGAACACCTTGGAGGTTAAGGATCACCGGCAAATAACATTATTTATATTATATATATATTATTCTATGGTAACATGTATTTAAGAAGAAAAAGGATAGGTCTGCTGCAGGTGACCAGGCCAAAATAAGAATGACTTGTGTAATTAACATTGTAAAGTCTGCATATTTGTGCTGATCTAACTGGGTTCGCACAAGTTTCATAGGGAGCCTGTGATATTTGTTACTGCCTCATAACCCGCCTAGGAAATGGGATCTAGATGCAGATTGGTGTGGGGGAGAGAGATCGGCAGTTGCAGTCTGCTCAGCTCATCCACATAGAAAATGCCACCCTTGCAGGAGTTGTTCTTTATACAGTACTTGCATATTTCAGTTGGCAAATTGCTGGTAGTAAAATTATATTATCCATCTATTGTAACTGCAACAATTCTGTATGAACGCAATTTAATCCTTTAAAAGCTAATATATTCAGTCTGGCAGTAACAAGTGCTTACAAAAGGTCTGCATTGCATCATCATAACATTGGTGACAGAGAAGGGCCACTTGAAGTAAAAGTGCACATGAACCATCTGAAATAATACCATTTGAAAACTACTGTTGGTCACATAGTTGTGTGGGTGTTAATGCAGTCAGGACACTTTCAGGTGGAAAATGCAATGTTATATATGTTGGTCAGATAAATTACAATGCACCACAAACATTGTGATGTGGACCTTAAGACTTTCAGAAATTTGCTTTCAGAAAGGTATCTTAATCCCTGTGTTACAGCCTTTGTCCTTCCATACAATATATAGAGCTCAGTCTTTACAGTTGTTGCCATGATTGTTAAACCCATATAATAACAATGGCTGAGATTTTGATACAAATTTATATTACCTGGAAAGAAAAGGGTGTGATTTATAAATCTACAGTGCTAAAACAGGGTAAAATTAACCCAACTAACAGAAGCAGAGTCTTTAACTGAAAATATATACTTTGAAATTGTATACTTAGTTAACAAGCTAACACTGGTCAATAAACAGAAAGGTTCTCAGTTTAAATTGCCACATAGCAATAACCCAGACTAATAATAATACTTGCATTTGGTATAGCACCTTTCACATCAGGAGGATGTCCTAACTGCATTTATTGTGAAGTCCGGTGACTATATTTTTAGGCAAATGTAGCAGCCCAACTGTGCACAGTAAGGTCCCACAAATTGGCATGCAATAAATGATCAATTTTATTTGAGGAATTGTTGGCCACCATACAGGGAGAAACTTCTTTCTCTTTTTGAATAGTGCAATGGGATCTTTAATGTCCATCTGGACAGGCAGACAGGCCTCATTTTAACATCTCATCCGAAGCACAAGCACCTCTGACAATGCAACACACTCCCAGGACCGCATTTGGAGTGTCAGCTAAGACGATGTGAGTGTGAGTTCAAGTCCGGACGTGAGGCTTGAACCCACAACCTTCCGTTATTCACAAGCATGAGGGCTACCACTAAGCCAGGCTGACACATGTAGATTCATTACACAATATTCAAACTGTTCAACTACTGATTCATTTCATATTTACATTCACTATTAAATGGGGAACTCCATTTATTCCCCCAAAAAGTTAGTGCAGCAACATTTTGAAAGCTTTCAAAATTAGGGAGGGAAGTGATTAAAGTAAAATATCCAAACTCCAGAGGATACATTTTGTTTTCCTTCCTGTTCATCGTTGTAATTTATGTTCTGACTCTTGTCCTAAGTAAGTGCTTTAATTGTATTTCGCGTGTGTTCTTTTGCGACTAAAGCCTCCGGTTAATGCACTGCATAAACCCGAACTGCCCTGGAAAATTACCCTCAATAAATCTACTGCCCATTACAGAGTTGCATAGACACCCGCGGCACTGGTGGGAGGAGGATACTGCAGCTGCACAGTGTACCGCTTCTGCACATTTGGTATCGTATCACGCAGTTAGGAACTCACCTTTTAAACAGATCTGAAATACAGTAATGTATGTACCACAGAAATAAACTGCTATTGATGTCACTATAGCAACAGATGCAGATTCCAAGCGCACTTTTAAAGGGAGCCAGAGGACGGCGCCACGAACCCCCTGACTGCTGCTACTGCAGAAAGCTTCCTCGTCCCAGGGATTAGAGTCGAATCAACTGGCACCAATTAAAGTAATAAAGCTGCAATCATGCAGGCCACTCGAGAACGTGAAAAAACACGAACAAACTGAAGCTAACGCGCCGATCTGGTTGGGTTCAATTACAAGTAATGCCACCCACTGATTCTAATGCGATCTTCACTTCTCATCTCCTGTCACCTGGAATCACTGTCTCCGCCAATTCTGGCAATTCTGTATGAAGACGAGACCACAGTGCCTCGCCCTGTGTGCACTGAACTACAGGAACACCTGATATCCAGGATATGTGAACACAGGCATTGGGGAGAGTTGTCAGACAAACAAGTCAGTCATTCGGTATCTGTGATGCCAGTTCATGGCTCCAGTGGGAACACCTACATCTAACGTGGGGGCGATGCCCGTTATTGCATATCAATGTTCATTCTCAGCACCGTTTTCGATATATTTTTTTCGCAGACACCCACCAGAAATCCCAATGCATCATTAGGCAGATTGTTAACTCAGCTTCTCGTGCCACACGCCACGTTTTCTTTCGGAATTTAATTGGATTTAAAGGCTAAGGGAAAAGCGCAGATATAAAAATAAAAGCACGAGTGGCATTCAATGCGTGGAGAAGAAAGGCGTCTATCCTGAGATTGCTTGATACATACATCCCGTGCATTATTGCATGGCATTTAATGCTATCTTATTATTCATGTAAAAGCCCCCGGTGCTGGTGCAGTAAAATTTCAGGTATGCATTCCCATATGCAGTAGAAGTAGAATAAAATTTGAAATATTTTGTTTTAACCTAAAGAAAACCCAGTGATTCCGATATTAAGGGATCTGCGCTCATGTTTGAGCCGCAAAGTCGTATGTTAGGTTCTGTGGGCAGACATGCAATATGCTGAGACTTGGAAACCGTATGTCATTATTAAAATGTGCCACACAAAACCACACTCTCTGCCTATTACTAAATGCCAAAGTAAAACTGAAGGACAGCACCGCCCGCGCGGTGTAATTCTGTTTTGCTGTGTGGTCTTATATTGTTTCAATCGAGAGTTGCCTGGACTGGTTTTGAAATGATGTGCATTGTTTGACTGCTATTTTCAATTCCAATCTGAAAAGAACAGATGACCAGTTGAACAGTTCAGTTCTTCTCGGGGGGTGGGGGGGGGGGGGAGTTGCCCACGAAAATTCAACATCGGGGCATTCGTGAAACCAGTACTCAAAAATGTGACCGCATTTACCTCCAGAGGTAAATCTTGTGGCTGAACACCTGACGGTAAATGTAGATTACATTTTAGAACAGTCCACAGTGTAAAACTGTCGCTAAAATTAGACCTGAACTGAAATGAGAGGTGTCCATCCACATTGACTTGCCAGTCAGGTAATGATTGTATTGTGGCAGCTCTCCTCTCTCGGCACATTGTACAGTGTTTGGCTTTCACTCACAGCAGTTAATCGATGGGATTTATGGAAAGACTCGTTTCAATGCTTTACTTTTGTATGTAATGTCCTCTCTGGGAGAGGTGCGCCTCTGCGCTGCGTAATGAAATGGATCCTCGTGTTTGAAATAAAATAAAGAAGGTGTCGGGTTTGGTACAGAGAGTCTCGATGGTGAGGTTTTGCTCGATATCTTATTTGAATGAAATGTTGGCGGAGGTGGACATTGACAGGATTACAGCAGATGGAGGTGGAACCAACTGCCGCAAGTTCTCAACCCTGATCCGAGTCCATGTGAAACTGAATCTCTTTACTTTCCATTACGGTTCCTCCCGGGAGGGGAAATCCAAAAAACAAACAAAACAAAAAAAACCATTAAAATAGACAACTTCACTTTCACAGTTCTCCGTTTAACCCTTTAATGGAATCGACAACTCTGCAAAAAGTTGACGCGTTTCAGTTTAACTTGAAAACGGCATCACCTGTAATCGCCGCAGAGACTGTGGTGTTACAATTAAACTCCGCCGATTCATAAAGAATCAACTCATTTTCCGCACCGATTCTCTTTTTTTAAAAAAAACACACACACACACACACGTCTTCAGCAAAGGTAGCGATCTCTCTGGATTTCCACATCTCGGTCAGATCCCTTTCCCACAGCCCGACATCGCCGAGTCTCTGAACGCAGTAAAGACCATGTACTTCTGCTGTCGGATCAACCCGACGTTGTACAAATCATCGCTTATTATTTAATCATTTAATAATCCCTGTGGAGGAGGCGAGTGAATTGGAAGATCTGAAATCGATTCAGCATTCAGTATGACTGACATTTCTGCTGCCATTAATATGCACAGCCATGTACATATATATATGTATATATATATGTATATACAAACGATCTTTTTCCAGCAAACCCAAACAATAGGGAGGATGCGAAAATGTTCCGGGCTGAGCATTAAAATGTGCATCGAGTGTTTTTGACACCGCTATACACACACTCCCAGATCACCAGCACATCTGCAATGACATGCCTCCCAGCTCGCTCACTTGGGGGGGTTAGTTTCTATCCCCCCCTCCCCCCTCTCCTCCCTCCTCTCTCTCTCTCTCTTTATGAACATGAATGGAAATACATGTCTCGGTGTCATGTTCCAGAGCAGCTGTGCCGATAGGGATCCGCTGCCATTGAGACCCACATCACTTGTGTGTGTGTGTGTTGTAATATCATTTATTATTGCGCTGTTTAACGCGCCGGTGAACAAGACGCAATGTACAATATTCCCAGAGAAGAAACGCTGTACTCACTGCAGTAGGCGATGAGAAGACTCGCCAGGATCATTACTGCCCAGAAAGTTGAGGGCATGTTTGGCCAGGGGCTGCCATCCTTACGGTTGTTTGCTGGAGCCATGGGGTGGGGGGGGACCTCTGTCCACTTTCACCAACCAACTCTCCTCTCCAGCGAGGGCCTGTCTGCACGTGTAATCCCTAAAAGGAACATTTTCCCCAAACCAGACCGCTGCTCAGCCTCCCTGCCATGTCCAGGTCCAGGTCTATGTCTATGTTCCACACACCGTTCCCCGCAGATCCTCTGCTGTGGGAATCCAGTCCTCTCTCCTCTCCTCTGCTCTCCTGGAGATCTGATCTGATCTCAGTCTGGAACAACACCTCGAGTTGTCTCGGAGCTTTATATATAAATACAGAGAGAGAGAGAGAGATAAATAAACGATACCGATGCTCAATGATTCCCTCCCAAGGCTATTGGATTTCAGATTGTACTCAAACTCCTTCCTGCTGCTGCTGCTGCTGCTGCTGATGATGATGATGATGAAGGAGGCTGCTGGAGCCTCAGGACTTGAAGGTCCGGAGAGATGAGACTTTCTCTGTCTACACGGCAGCCGAACAGATCATCCCAACACACCGGGAGCTGCGATAACAGCGGCTCAGCCAAAGCGATGACTTGTTACTCGCCGCTCTAAAGGGAAGGAAGCCGTTTAACCTGCGGCAATCCGGCAGCACCGAGAGGGGGGGAGGGGGGGAGAGAGGGAGGGAGGGAGGGAGAGGAGGGAGGGAGGGAGAGAGAGGGAGGAAGAGAGGGAGGAAGAGAGGAAGGGAGGGAGGGAGAAAGAGAGGGAGGGAGGGAGAGAGGGAGGAAGGGAGAGAGGGAGGGAGAACAAGAAATCTCTCAATGTGATGGAGCTGGACAACTCAGTGCCAGAGAATGGCGACAGACGGGGAAGGCGGCACAAGAGGAAGAAGATGACTGTTATAATGTCCGTCCAGCAGCTAATGTGAGAGCTTTGCCAACATCTCCAAACCAGAGCCGCGGACCTGCCCTGAGGGACTGCACACAGAGCGATCATTCAAGTCAACCCCCTCCTCTCTCTCTCTCTCTCTCTGTCTGTCTTTCTTTCTTTCTTTCTTTCTTTCTTTTTCTTTTTTTCTTTCTTTCAACTTGTCCTGGGGGAAAGCCGCCTTCCAAAGTTTTCGAGGTGTTTTGTTAAGGATGCTCGTGTCAGTAACACTCAGGTCCTTCCCTCTCTGTGACTGGAGAGAGGAACTCAAACCTCTCTCTGCCTCTGATGCAGACAGGTCTTAAAGCAATGCTCCAGCACAGCACAGCACTGCACTGCCTGGGGCTCAGGGTAACACATGCATCCAGTGTTTGGGTTTCCCCCCAAAAAAAAACATTATTCAGGGAAAGTGTTCCTTCGTCAGGGTAGCAATGAAATATAAAATGCCATTTAAAACGTTTCACTCTCTCTCTCTCTCTCCCCCTCCTCAATGCAAAAGCTTTCTCGAGGAAGAAATGCCTTTCCTTTCGTCTTTCGCAGCTGATCTGAGCTTTAATCCTCAGCTAAAATCCCAAGCAAAGTGAATCGTTTCAGGGTAAGACGTAAACAAAATCTCATAAAAGATGTAACTCGATCTGTGATTTAGGAAGTCTGGGTGCAGATGAGAAATGAACCATTTGTACCAAACGTCTGAGTTTTCTATTTATAACGTTTACATTTTTTTAAAGGGTTTGAGATTGAGTAATTCCCCCTCCCCCAACCCCCCAGAAAATAGCACTGAGAGAATCAAAATACCCATAGCAATGGCTGAATGCACTGCTGACTGGTATATTGTTGATCAAGGACATGTTCAGTGATATGACAAGTTGGCATCTTGAAGGGAATTGCCCAAACAGTTATGGCGACAGAGAAGTAGTCTACAGGGATTCAGACAGTCTATCATCTCTAGCGCCTTCATCTCTTTCACTTAACTCAAACTGGGCTTCTGCTTTGGAAATCATATTCCATCTAAGAAAAAAACCTTTCCCACCAGTTATCGATGGCCTTTAGGTCCTGCTGTTAAAGATGGGCTTGAGAGCTCTTCCACAACCTGGCAGTTTTCAATAGAAAAACTCTCAATGTACTCGATGCGTCTGCACAGACACTGTGGCCATCATCATTTCAGAACTCTGCAGTGTAGTCATCACACCAGAAGGTATCCTTGAATCTAGTTTCTTGTTTGCAATTAAGAAAATAGCTACAATAGTGTTGTCCCCCTCAAGCTCATCAGACTGAAAAAGATGGTCCAAATGCGATGAATGTCTGAGAGTGCTTAAAGGGCAATTGCCTGATTCACACCTTATCCGTCGTCACTGTGTGTTACATCTGCCAAATCAGTGCCAGCACAAACATTATTATTAAAAATATACATAAACCATGAAAAATGGCAGAATCCACCATTTTGATGGCAGGAATATGACCTGGAGCAGTGGGTCGCTCGTTTCAGTAGAGAAAATGTTTAACACAAGACTCGAACATTACTTTGCTCTCAGGTTGTAGTCAGGTCACTTGTTGACTGACTGATTACCATGTTCGCTGTCTGTATGAACCAATAAAAGTTCAAAAACGTGCATCAATTGATGTTTGTACATATATGTTGCAAGGCACACATTGTCAGCAGGAATGGTGCAACTGACAAAGAGGAAGGCAAAATAAATTCGTTCTGTGGGGCTCTTTGGAGTAAAATGTTGGAATCCTTGGCATAATCCCCAAAAGCTTTGCTTGCTTAAAAAGCAATCTTATTGTTTTTCCTATGCATCATTCACCTTATTCTCTTTGACCGAGCCTTCAGCTCCCCTCTCGACTCTCTTCCCCCTCCTCGCTCCCTCCCATCCCTCCCCTCACCCTGACCATTTCCCCCTGCTCGGGTCCTGACCCAACTGTGCAGCGCCTTGGGACGTCCTCCAGACGTGAAAGGTGCTCTATAAATGGAATCTTGTTGTTGTTGTTGTTTACCTACAGATTATAGATCAAAATGCATATTAAAGATGATTGACAATTTTACAATCCATGGGATTACTATTCCAACTGGTTAATTAATGGTGAATGGTGAGCAGTCATTCTCAGTTTGTTCTGGAATATCAAGATTAAATGAACCCTAATAGACTTCTTCATGCACTCACCTTAATCTTCTTCCCAAAGTTTTTTTTGGGTCAACTAGTTGTTTGAGATATGCTAAAACCCATCACCATATTAAAGGATATTCAAACAAGGCCATGCTCCACATACAAATGTATGTACATTTCTCTGCCTGCGGAATACAACTAGTATTCTCTCCATAGAAGGATACAACCTGTTTACCCCAATTCTGGAGAGGATTAGATGCAGGTTGGGGATAGCTGAAGCAATGAGACCGTACAACACCAAGCCATTGCAGTTCAAAGATAATAAGAACCAATAGCATGTGCTATTAAATACAAATAAACTGGATCTTGAAATATTTATTATTATTATTGATTATTATCTTGAAGTGCTGTAATTCTGCACCTAGGATAATCTGTATGGAGAGTTTATGGTCTAGGCTCAATCATAGTGGAAAGGCAATAAGCAAAGGTGAAGCAGGTGCCCTGAGTGAGTGAAGGAAAAATCACAAAGTGAGGCAATTCTAATATAATTCCTCTCTGCCATTTGCAGAGCAGCTTGGGAAAATAGGCATTGTGTTCTCTTAATCAGAAAATGAGGTAGTCATTGAATAGCTGAAGGGGGTTGATTGGGCGATGTTAATGAAAATAAAGAATAGTTCTCAAATTTCATTAGGAACTCTTTGCTGATGGAATTTAAAACGTCTCACCAGTGTTGGTGGGTTCTCAGCTTCCTCTCACTTATGCATGCCATCACAAAGCACTTTAAGTGTTCATGGCTTTGCATCTTTCATGCTTACACTCAGGATACGTTGTGCCATAAAATAATAAATCTGCTGAGAATTTGTAAAGCATGAACCATTGTAAAAGTGAAACATTTTTCATGTCTTTATCTCTCTGCCAATTATCTCTCCAATTTCTCTTCTCTACTGGAGGTGGTTAACTCATATTCTCTTCTCATTCCACTGATGCAGGTCATCTCCCATTACTTTGCCCCAGTAGGCAATATTCATGTGTAAGTCAGAGCAGTGAGCTCCAACAGGCTACTCAACCACAGGGAACACTACAGCTGAATCCAATGTGACATTCACTTTCCAGCAGGGGCCTCAGAACAAAGTTGAGTTTGTGGAATCCCATAGCATAGTGGTTAGAACATTCGCCTCACAAGTGAGAGAACCTGGGTTCGATTCCCAGACGGGGTGAAACCTAAGGTAAGTTTCCTTATTCCATGAGCCTCTGTTTACCCAGCAGGAAACTTGGTTGTTAATCGATTGGCAGCTCGCTTTCTGGGGCTAATAATCCCTCCAAAAACCCACAGCCTTCTGATTTAGAGGCAGGAATGCAACCAACTGAGCAAAGCTAGCTAGTGCTGCAGTACATTAGATAACTTCAAAATACTGTGCTAGTATTAAACTTAAACCAAATTTTTTTAAAAAGTTAGAATTATTTTATTGGTAATATTTTAATTTTAGATCAACAATCACTATATTCTTGGAATTCCAAATTTGTCTGATTGAGGGTTAAGGGGGCAGAGAAGATAAGGTCTCAAAAAAATCATAGCAAAGATAATTACTGAAAATGTTACCACAATTTTCTTTACAGTAATGTATTTTCGAAGCACTATAAAATAATCGGAGGGCAGCTGAAGCCAAGCTGCAGGCATTTAGTGATGGAGAATTTACTACTAATACTATTACTAGCATACTCTCAGCTACAGAAAATAAATACATTTTATGTTCTCAGCATCATCCAAGAATCTTGCAAAGTGATGGGAGTGTGCCAATAAAACTATGGTTGACAAAAATAGTAGGAATCTCAGGATACATTTTATTCAACGAAGTCAATTCTTTCCAATTCTTGCTTTCTGTCCACCTTTCCCATTAGGCTCTTCAATAACTTCTTTGGTTTCATAATAATAATCCTTACATTTGATATAGTGCCTTTCACATCGGGAGGACCTCTCAGTGTGGAGGGGTAGTGACTATGCACTTCATATGTAAATCCAGAAGCCAATTTGCACATAGCAGATATACATCATATACTTAAGTTTGTCTTATAAAATATTTTTCATCCTCCTATTCACATTAGAAAACAATGATTGAGCATCAAAAGAGAATTTTTATATGTTTCTATTTAAAAACAAATTAGCAACAGTATAAATGGATGACAGTGATGGTCTTACTTCACTGGAGAGCCATGTATTTACATTTTCTATGTTAGAAGCTAATGTAATGTAGGTTGCAGTTTAATCACTGTCTTTATCCAGTTGATTTTATGCCTTAACAGAAGTTTAGTTCCATACAAGGTGCCCAGGCACCAGTAGGCACAACAACTACAACAACTTGCATTTATATAGCGCCCTTTACCCCAGATTGAGTCTCGGAGCCCTTAGTGAAAACGTTCTAGCCTATTTGAGGGCATGCACCACAAATATAGCACCAAAGACAGAATATTGTGACATGGATCAAAACATTTCTTGATGTTTTATACCCAACACTATTGGTTTCTTTAATATATCCCAAGATGAAATATCCTAATGAGGGTTTTTTATGCAAAAC